CTTAACCCCTTACCCGTATCTAATCTCATGCCAAAATCAATGAGCTAATCTTAAATTGGTGATGTGATTAAAATTGCGTAAATCAAGCAATCACCAATAAACCAATAAAAAAAAAAAAAAAAAAAAAAAAGAAGAGCAAAATAACGCGGTTGACAAATTATTCAGTTAAATTATAAATTTAACATTAATTAACGTGATTATCATAAATTCCGATGCGCTGGCATGAATGTCAAGTGAAAAGGAGATAAGAAAAGGACAGAGAGAGAGAGAGAGAGAGAGAGAGAGAGAGAGGGAGGCTGAGGGAATCTGAGGGAAAAATAAGTACAGCGACTGTAGTTGACGAAGATGTTTGCTTTTTTTGCTTCACTCTCTCGCTCTATCTCGCTCTCTCTCTGTTTTTCTCTTTGCTTGATGTTGACTGAAGGCGAAGCTGTGTGGTCCTTCAGCAGGGACTCGAGTTGTCAGCGTCCCCCTTGGGGAATAAGGGTATTTCGTTGTCGTTGTCGTTGTCGTTGCCGTTGTCGTTGTCGTTGTTGTCATTGAGGCTGTCAGCAGCTGCAACTCAATGCCAACTAATTAATGGGCCGATGTAATGGCCGATATTCCAGACCTCAATCGTGGGTGGGCTGCGTTACAAATATTTCGAACAGTTAATAAACTGTCAATGTGTTCGGTCGCATGTCTTTGTCTCTCTGTATGTGTGTATGTGTGTGTGTGTGAATCTGTGCATGCATGTATGTGTGTGTGGTTGAAGTCGTTGAATGATGCCATTTAAATTGATTTCAGTGGCTCATTCACATTCGGTTCGATGACAGTTTTCTTTTCTATGGCAACTGCTCCTGCTCCTGCTCTTGCTGCCGGCTCCTGCTGTTGCTCCTGCTGTTGCTGCTGCTGCTGTAACTGCTGTGCAATTGGTCAACTCTCCTGTCATCCATGCAGCTTATTTTTATTGAATAAACATTCACGTAAAAATTGAAAACAAAAAGAAAAAAAAAGACAACACGAAATGAATATACGCCGAAGGAAGACAAACAACAGTCAATGCCAATTAAATGGGAATTTTAATTAGCGTAAGTTGCACTTGATGACGTCACAGCGGCATCATTAAATGAAAGGACCCAAAGGGCCGTGAAGAAAACAGAGTTTTGGCCAGTTCATAATAGCACAGGCCAAGAGGGTTTGGCCACCATTGGAATAGACTTTGCGCCAGAAAGGCTTCCGAGAGGAATTCATAAACCAAATTGATTTTAAAATTTTCTGAGCAACGATGCTGCTCCCTCTTCCTCTTGCCTCTGCTCACTCTGCTGCTCTTTAAGCAACTCTTCAATTCGATTTTCATTTTGTTGCTATATTGTCCTGGCAAACATGATACTGCATGCATTTATGCAGCAGAGCCGACATTATTTCAGGTGTAGCGATTAAACATGATTTGGGCTAACGCTCTTGCTGTTAACTGATTGCTTCTCAGGTAGACAAGCATCAGGCCCCAAGCTGTTGGCCATTTCGTTTGTGCATTGGCCAAGACATTTTGGAAACTAAAACATTTGAATATTGCAGTGTTAGCAGAATTGACTAGCTAAGACTTGTGTGATTATATGCTAAGAGATGACTTAAAGCTGTCTCCTCAAATATGATACTTGGATTCGCTGGGCAAGCAAGAAGTTGCTTATATTTAATGGAAACATTTCAACAACACTATCAAGGGCTGTAGACCCATAGATGATGAGCAAACATAAAAAAAAATAAATAAATTTTAAAAGTAAATAAAATAAAAATAAAATATAAATGAAATATAATATAAATAAAATATAAATAAAATAAAATAAAATAAAATAATAATTAAAAATTGGTGAAATTCCACTTAATTTCATACGATTCGAATATTTATTTATATATTCGGTGCACGTCGATGGCCCTCGTAGCTAGCACGTTTAATAATTTTTAGATTTATATTTTTTATATTATCTAATAAATAAATAATAATAATAATTTATATATTCGATCAAATAAATAAATTATAATAAAATAATATATAATACATTTATTTAGCTTATTTTATTCTAATTTTATGCATCATTTTTGAATTTTTTTATACTAATTAAAATAAAAATGAAATAAAATAAGTAAGAAAACATAGAAATATAAGATTAAATAATAAACAAAATAAATATTATTTATTATTTTGATTTTTACTTTATTTATTTATTTTTCTTACTTATATTCCTATTTTTTCTTAAAAAAGTTTTTTTTTTATATGATCTATTTTTCTTTTTAATTTTTTAATTTTTATTTATTTCTTCGTTATTATATACAAACATATATTTTTTTTAAAATGCCAGCTTAATTTATATCGAATTTTCAGTCGTCTCTCATAGCTCCTTAACTCTGACCTAATAGGTGAAATATTTGACAGTTTAATTAACTTGCTCCATACCTGCTTAGCCACTTAAATTAAAGTGCTTCGCCTTTGAATCGCTATCTCAAGGATCACAATTCGAGTTTTGATGTGAAATTTATGCCTTTAAAAATGACTTTTTGCGCTTTTCAATTTTTCCAATTTCCGCTCTGCATATGGAAAACAGAATTGAATTTTAATTCTTCAGCACATAAGCAACGTTGCAATTGACACATGACAAGGCGCACAGACAGATGGGTAGGGAGATGAGCAAGAGCAGGAGCAGGAGCAGGAGTAACAGATTCGCTACGAATCTTGGCAGCAAATTGAAATGCATGAAAGCAAAATATAAACTATGTAACTGAAGAATACAAATTGATCAAACACAAAAAGCAGCAACATCATCATAAAACTGTGCAGCAGGAGGCGGGGATGGATGGGGCAGGAGCTGTTTGTATGTATGTATGTATGTCTGTGTGCACAGCCCAAAAGCACTCAACAAAACGCAACCGAATCCCAGCTCCAGTCCTAGTCCCTGGTCAGACTAGACGAGGAAAAGCAGCAGGAGCAGGAACAGGAGCAGGAACAGGACGACAACTCGTTGGCAATGCCAGCTGCCAGAATCCAAATTGTGAGCTCATCATTGGGAATTCGAGCAATTTATTTGATGTGTCGATACGTGTCGCCATATTCAGCTGCCTCCAGACTCCAGGCTCCCACAGCATAGTCCCTTTCAGATCCCCCTCCTCTCTCACCCTCTCTCTCTCTCACACAGACCACGCCACAGCTGACAAAATCTGCAAATCAAATTACAAAAATCATAGCGCTGGATTTTCACACGGCTATATGCAGCAGGGAGTTAAGCTGCCACGCCCCCTCCTGCTGCATGCCTCTTTGGCCCACAACGCCCAGTTCAGGCTAGCTCAACCGGCCGGCAAATTGTTCCGACGTCAAATGATGAAATGAAATCAAACAGCAGCCGAGTCCAGGCAGCAGCAGCAGCAGCAGCTGAAGGGCTCGCAGCATAGTTTTCGTGTGTGTGTGTGTGTGTGTGTGTCCATGTCTATGTTTGACAAGCGACTAACTAGTGGAGTACCTCATTCAGTCTGTGTCGCAGAGCTCGGTGCCCGGACTCGCCGCGCCTGGGGACGCGCCAATCTGCGAAAATTTGAATTCGAAACTTTTTTTTTTTGTTTGCCTATTATTTATTTAGATGCAGAATAAAAACAAAATTACCAAGGGGAAAGTGTGAAAAGTGTGTATAAATACATATATGGGAGTGTGTTTGCGAGTGTGTGTATGTGTGTGTGCGCTAAAAATAAAGGATCAAACTGCTGTTTAAACAAATGAAGTGTTGCCAGCTGTCAGCAGCTGAATGCGCACTTTTCCCATATCTCTTGCACACTTCCCCCCCCCCCCCCCCCCCTCTCCATCACTCTACCTCTCTGGTTTTAGAAATAGTTATTCATAATTCACTTTGCCATTTTTTTTCCTTTTTAAAAATTTTTTTTTGGGGTAGCTGAAATTGGAGCGTTTTATAATTGGTATTGACGTTTGCTCAGCTCTCGAATAACCAGTTTAGTCGCCATTCATATTGCATTCATTGAATCATTCACTCAATATCGATATCAAAACTTATTCAATATCTGATATTTCCTACACACCCACACACACACACAGACGCTTTCCCTTGCAATTTAGAGTTTTTAGACGTCAAGCGGGCTAGTTGAAATATCTCTAATCGGATACGTTGCATGGCAGATCAAAGCGGGTATATTAGTTTACTAATAATATACATTATAATTATACACATATATATATGAAAAAATAAAAATAAATAAAATAAATTAATAAATAAAATAAACACATTTGATTACTAGTAGACCATATGGAGTAAGCACTTAAACACCGTGCAAAAAAAAATCTAAAAGAAATATATATTCAATATTTTTTTCCAAACTTTCAAATTTGATATACCCTGTATATTTTTTCGCATTATTTACTTACAACACAAAATTAAACCAATAAAAAAAAAAATAATAATAATAATAATAATAGGAAATAAATCATTGAAAAAATAAAAAAAAATAAAAATATCTATACAGTAAAATCCGGAATAGATTATAAATATATAGCTTAGAATATATGTACATATATACATAGCTGATACAATATATATATAAATTAAATATTTATACAATATATATATGATTATATTTTATATGTAGATTCAATTAGACTATATATGTATCTAGTTAGCTTTCTTTAATAAAGTGTTTTACTTTTTGCTCGAATTATAAGAAAACAAGCAAATAGTAATATACCATAAAGTTTATATGCTCTAATTGAATAAAAGCGAATGAATCCAATTAAAAATATGAATTTTTCAATATGCCTGCTCGTCGATTTATATTGAAAATGGAATTCGATAAATTTTACATTATACCAATTGACAGACTTTCAATTAGAAACCAACTACTGAATCAATTTCAATAAGAGAACTGCCGTTACATAGCTTTTCTCAATCATAAGTACTCAAAATAATTATCTACATGTAATTAAATGGAATCCAATAAAACATTTCCAATAGGATAGAAGTACATACCTTTCAATTACAGAACACAATAAAGCATAAGTAGCGTTTAAGTATGGCAGGGTTTACATTGTTCCAATCAGACATGCTCCAATTAATTCATATGCTCACACAATGCATAGCTCCAATCAGTAATCAGGATTCAATTGTACAGATAGGGGCAACTAGAAAGAAAGAGAGAGAAAGAGAGAGTTTGATTCCATTTGCATACATTAAGTCGATTTTCCAATTGGATTGCCTAAGAAAGTATTCGATATATATATGTATATATGTGGCAATAGTTTAGTTGTGTGTAATTCCAATTAGATAAAACCGATTAGTAATTCTACCGATAGGACACAGGCACAGAGAGAAAGAGTGAGAGGGAGAGCGAGCGAGATTCCATATACAATGATTCCAATTAGACGTTGCTAGAAATGCTTATATACATATGTATATACAAGTGCCTCCAATTAGATATCTACAATTATTGTTAAATATAGTCTGCCCTCTCTCTCTCTCTCTCTCTCTCTCTCTCGCTCTATCTTTCTTCCTCACACACAATCTCTGTCTTTCGGTGTTTTTCGGCCTAAAGCTTCGAGGCATTGACTTAAAGTGCTCGCATGCTGCCAAGAGAATCATCATCAAAGAAATCTTTTGTGTACAGTGGGAACAAAGCGCAAGTCCTTAAGGGAAAATAAGTTGTGGAGAGGGTGGGCGAGGGAGATGGGTCGATGGGTAGATGGGTAGATGGGGGATATAGGCGAGGGGGCAACGGGGGCCAAGCATCATTAAAGAGCCATCAAAGGCCGCTGACATCAAATGGCAGCGACGACTCTGATTTAAGGCCGAAAGCAAAAGAAATTGTCAAAAGTTTTCTGTGTTTGCTGGCATTAAGTCAAGTCTTTCTTTCTCTTTTCTTTTTTTCGTCTTGTCCTGGACAGATGCTGTAAAATTGTGTCTCTCTCAATCTGCCGATAAACTGGAACTGCTTAAAAATTCTTTTGTTTGCGGCAGCTGCAGCGAATCTCAAGGGATAGCAAAGGCGCGTGAAGGAGAGGGCGAGGGGGAAAGAGAGATGGCTAGCTTGGGGCAGCTGTAAGATCAGCAGGAATTTGTAAAGTAGTTCAACTGGTTTCGATTTTTGCCCTGTTGTTTTTTTTTCTCCTGCTTGCAGCTTGCCACAGATTGTGGCACCTGCCTGGACGTGGACATTGTAGATGCGGAATGCCCCCGATTATTTTATGAGAGCAATTCGTCTATTAGGCTCTGATTGCAGCGGGCAGGGGGCGGGGGCCAGCGAGCCCTGTGTCCTTTATTGTATTGTTTGGGGCTGGCCATAAGTGGAACAAAGCTTGGAAACGTGACCAAATCAAATTTAATGCGTGTTGCCATGCCACACACATTGTGGCACGAGCAAAAACACAGACACACACAAACGCAGAGAATAAGCGTACGCTGAAAGCGAAAGTGGCGCCATCCAGCGGACAGCAGCGGCACATCAAGCGCTTTGTCAATTTGCTGCTAACTGTTCTTGCTCCCGTTGTTGTTGTTGTTGCTGTTGGCATGATTGATGCAGCGTCTACTCTAATATACACACATACAAACAGACGGACATAGATATTTGTTTTTGTATTTGTATCTATAAATATTTAAAGAGCACGTGGCGATTGTAAATGGTTTGCCATGTCAGCTGCTGCACAATTAATCAAGCATTTTGTTTTGCAGCGTTAAATAATGAAGCCAGCGGCAAAGCTGCAAAAGGAGCTCCATGTCAACAAAAAAAAAAAAAAAAAAAAAAAACACACATACAAAAAACAAAGTAATGAAAACAATCGAGAAACGGAAAGACGAAAGCCCCTAAGGAGTTGCTGCCACAGATTTATTTATTTATTAATGCCTCATTGTTTGTGTTGTCCCAGCTGGGCAAGGGTAACATGTAGCATGCAACATGCTGCCAACCGTTTCGCAACATAAGCTGGCAGCGAGCGCTTATTCAGCACGTGAGTAACACAGCGTGCGTGCGCTCTCTCTCTCTCTCGCTCTCGCTCTCTGGTGCTTGCTTGCGCTCTTTTAGCAGCAAGCATTATACAGAGAAACGAAGCGAATTGAAACGAAGATAGCCACTGTCACAGGGTGCTCCAGGTGTTTAGCATTAGCAGCTACAGACGATGGCGTCTGTCAAGTGCGTTTCATCATAATTTGGCCGTTAATACTCACACAAAAATACACACGCACACATACTCACATGTATACAGTGGGCTGAGCAGCCTTTGGCTGGCTTTGTTCTCACCTTGGTTGCCCAAAACATCCTTGGCACCCATTCCATATATTACATTTTTAAGGAGTTTGCCTTGTTAAATATTCAACCGCGGAATTTAATGCGTGGTTTCCCAAAAATCAACTGAAAATGTTTTGAAAATATTTGTATTTTGAGAATCGGGTAATTCTAATTTTATACCTGTCATTTTTTGAATGATACTGCAAAATATATATATTTTATACTAAATAAAGGCTTTTGATTTGAGCTTTAATTTACAATTTTTATTTAAAAATAAATTAACTTATCCGTATACTTAAGAAAAATAATCAAATTAAAGAGCAGAAATAAATTTGTTTCTCTGGTTTTATTTACATCAATATATTTTTAACATTTATTAACATTAAATACTTAATCAAACGCTAACAAAGAAGTTTTTGTAAAGATATTACGCATTGCATTTCATTATTTCACTCCACTGTCAGCAGCTCGCAAAGAACAACACCAAATGCAAATACAAAAGTCTAACTGTAGCTGTAACTGCAAATGTTACAGTTAACATTTTATTTTTAATTTTTGGGCACAGCTCCGTCGTCCACCACAAATTTGTCCCTCTTTTATCTGCTGTCCAATCGGCCAAAATGAGAGTCAAAAATGCTGCTCCATGACATACTTTGCGGCCGTCGCCCCCACCCTCTTCCGACCACTCTCCCACTCACACTGTCTTTTCGCTTGCGTAGTGTAAATAAACGGCGAAAAATAAAACTCATCAACTGGCAAGGCGAAACGTGCAAAGTGCGCGCCAGCAATAAGAAAGGGACAAAGCATACTTGGCCTGCGGTCAGTTTGCTTCTATTTCTTATTTAATTCTACACTTTCGCTTGCACGCACGTTAGCCTCTCACTCTCGCTCTCCCTCTGCCTCTCCCTCTCTCTGTCTGTCTGCTTCGCTTTGCCTACTCACTTCAACACCCGCTGCAGTCGCGCCTGGTGCCTGCCAGCCTAGGCAGCTTCACATAAACGCTTTACATATGCTCTGAGACTGTGGAGCGTACAGTTCGGATTTGCCGTTGATTCGCCAGCTATCTCGCTCTGACTCATATGGGCTCTGCGCTTGGTCACGTTTGTAAAATTTTGCAAAAATTTATTTAATATTTTATTCTTCCTGTGGTGGGGCCATTGCTGCTGAACCTACTGCTGCTGTTATTGTTGTTGTTGCTTGGCTTTTGTTCACTTTGGCTCAGCAATTTAGTGAAATATTTTGATTGCCAAACATGGCGCTGGCTGTGGCTGCTGCCATGGCGTTTGCATATGAATAACCGACAGCACTTAGTACACACACACCCAGATGAGAGTGTGCATGTGTGTGTGTGTGTGTATGTTCTCTAAACGGAAGTGGCAACATTGGCGCCACAGCAAAAGTTTTTGTCGCTGACAGGAAGTTGCAATTTTGTTTGCAATTTCCTTCACTGCACATTTGCCAAAAGTTGTGGGAACAGGAGGAGGCGGCGCAGCAGCAGTAGCAGCACGGGGAGTTCCTCTGCAACTGTAGCAACAACAATTGTCGCCACACGCCCCACACTTTCTATCAGCCGCCTGTCAGCTTGTTTAGTTAACTAAGTTGCGGTTATTACGAGAGAGTTTTACACGTGCGTATGAAGCTGCGATTGCAACAGCAGCAGCAGGAGCAGCAGCGACTGTTGCATCTTTCTGTTGCTACTTCTTTTACTGCTGCTGCTGCTGCTGCATCCCTTGTCATATTTCGTAAAGTCAAATTTCGTGCCAAATTAATTTGCAACAAAAGTTGCGCTGCGCATTTAATAAATTGAAATATGCAGACATAAAAAAAAAAAAAAATAAATAACCAAATGCACAAACAAGTAAGAAGGCTCTAGTCGAGACTGCTCGACTAGGAGATACCCTGAACCCTCCAAGCTGTTATTCTAATCATTCTGCAGAAGTGCATATGCACACATACATACACATGCATCTAGACGCACGTATAACAACGCGTTCTGCTAACTGCGCAGTAAGCAGCGGCTGCGCTTGGGCTGCGCTGCAATGTGGGCAACATTATGAGAATTTATTTGTTAAATAATTTAATTTCTGGACGAACAATCTTAATGAAACTTTCAGAAGTCTCTAGTACTTGAATTGCGTTTGGGGAAGAAGGGGGCGTGGTATCCAAAATCTGTAAATTACAAAATGTTTTTATTCATCATATGTATATACACAGTAAATCTGAAGTCTCTAGGTCTAATAGTATTCCAATGAGGCTGAAAAAACAAAATCAATTTTTCAATTATTCTAGATAAAAAAGTTATCGGTTGATTTATCGAGAAAAAAAAAGCAAACTCGTACTGTGTTTGATACACACGAGTATACATGCCAAATTTCTTATAACTTCTGCGATCGACGCACTCATACGGACGGACGGACGGACAGACGGACAGACGGACAGGGCTATATCGACTCAGCTCGTCGCGCTGATCAAGAATATATATACTTTGTGGGGTCTGCCACGCCTCCTTCTGCCCGTTACATACTTTTTCACAAAACCATTATACCCTAATTTCCCATTTTCAATGGGCTCAGGGTATAAAAAGTGGCATACAAAATAGCTATAAATATAATGATACGAAATTGCATTATGTAAAAAACATGTTGGCAAATTTTTATTTGGTTTTGGCACACTTTGTAGATTAACATGGGATTATGTGGAGTGACATTTTTGGATGCACTCAGCGTATGAGTGTGCGTGTGCGTGTGAATGTGTGTGGTCTGTCAACCCGTTTCAATTAGAGCGTATTATTTGATAATTACCATTGGAAATGATATGCGACAGCTACATTATTAGTGCACTGAAAATCGACAAATTAGAGTTTTAATTAAATATAAATATTTGTTGTACTTAATTTTATGTTGAATTTTTGCCAAAGACAAAAAGAAATTTTCGAAATTTGTGGAATGTATACAGTTCTTTTATATGTATCAGGCAGGTTTTTTTTATTTTATTTTTTAATTCTCAACTGGATATATATTCAAGTATTCACGGCTGAGAATGAGTATTCAGCAGTCAGTAAGAGCCGACTGCAACGTTCTTACGTTTTGTTTAAATAATTTATAAAAAAAAAAAAAATAAATATATATATATGTATTAAAGTCCACTAAAAGTTAAATTTAAATATTTAAAAATAAAATCATATACATATAATGAATTTAGTTTGTTAATATCTATTTGAATTGTTAAAATTAATGTTATTTACTTTCATTATTTATTCATATTGCTTCTTAAATGGAAAATGTTTTATTTTATTCATTTATTTATTTATTTTTTGTTGTCATTTCATTCATATTGCTTACTTAAATGTAATTTAATTCTTAGCTGTGACAATTAAATTAATAAAGCCTAAGGCAACACATCTTATAAATTGGTATAAAATTCATATAGTTTAATTTAATAAGTGTATGTCCTGTTAAAGGAAACTGTTGTCCTTACAATATCCACATTCACATTTCTTACCTGACTGAATTCAGCAAGCTCTGCAAAACAAAAGAAAAAAATATTTGTATTTTTTAACCAAAACATTTCTAGAAACAATTTTTTTTTGTATTTATTTATTTTTTGTGATTTTTTTATATTTTGTTGTACAAACATTCCAATTGAGGAGATTTGTTGCCATTAACAACAACTGAAGATGCTCTAGAAGTGATTCGGTTTGGGAGTGGGTCGACGATACCTTCCTTTTTTATGATAATGATGATGTTATTGATGGAGATGTGAGTGGAGTCGGGGCTGGGACTGGGATAGAGTCTGGGCTTGGGGCTGTCAAAGGTCAGCTGGCAACGAAAATTTTTTGGACATAATTTGCTCAATCATTTGCATAATTTTCACAGCAACAGCCGCTTGCCACGCCCCCAGCTCACACTCACACACACGCACACATACACAGAGTCGCACGTAAAAGCCCCACGGGCTGAGTTTTTTTTTTTTTTTTGGTATATATATTTTTTTCGTGTTCGTTTTGTATCTCGTTAACAAAAATTGAAAAATATTCAACATAAAAACAAACATAATGCTGTCTGCCTCTGTGTGTGTGTGTGTGATAAGAATGTTAAGGAAATTGTTGTCTTGAATACTTTGTGGCCACACACACACACACACACACACACGCATATGCGTGTTTAAGGCAACAAAATAATTGTGTTTACTTTGTCTAATGCGATCAATGGGCCCGATGACATGAGCATATTTGCAGCCCACCCGAATGACTTGAGTGGATTTTGGATACAGCTGCTTATCCAGCAATCCTGCATCTCTTATGCTCTTCCTTTCCTTCTCCTCTAATTTCGCTATTTTTTGTTGATAATTTGATATTTTTATGCGACTATTTACATTGGGAATTAATTTGCCAAAAAACGAACTTAAAATATTATTTTTGATTCTTAAGCACGTTTCAGTCGAAACTTATGAAACTTGGCGGAGAGTGAGAATAGGGCTTTAGCGAAGTCCTCGATTTAACGTCACGCTATTTGGGCATCGTTTTATTAGCCTCAGCTTGTAGACATGCACGTTGACATGTCATCGAGCATGTCGGTTATCAGATCTAAATATATGTATATTACAACATTACGAATTGGTTTGAATTGCAAATCATTTAATTATTTATTTATTTTTATTTTTTATTTATTTTTATTTTTTTGTGTTTTTTTGTTATTAATCTATTTTGCTTCTGTTTTTGGGCTATGAATCATATTTTGTAATCGCTTGTCTGATAGACACTAATTCATATTCCAAAGAGCAGCCATGTCTGTGTGGTCCATTGGGAATGAGCTTCCGACAGCTATGCGATTGCCACAAAAAGAAGAAGAAGAAGAATGTGAGTCCAATGCCCGTTGCCTTTCAAATTTGTTCAACTGATTCTCTACTATTCTCTCCTCTACTCTCTCTCTTTCTGCCTCTGTCACGGACAGAACACCACACTGACAGGTGTTGCACAAACTCCAAGCGACTAGAGCTACTGAAATATACCTGGAGTGCCCGCTCGTACTGCTGACTACCTGTGCGCCTGCCTGCCTAGCCTGCTGCGACTGTGTGGCACATGTGACAGCGTTTCGAGCATTTCAATCAGAGTTCAGGCCAGAGATGCAAATGCCTCGGCCGCATACACTGTACAGTGGGGCAAAGCCGGCCACAGTGGGCACTCGACAAGTCGAAAATTGGTTTAGAATCGAACTTTTGGCTCGATGTCAATGGGAAATTTCGTTCCGTTTAGCCAAT